CATATCAGCAATTAATAATTTCATTGGTGCCGGCGGAGTTCGAACCCGCAATGCTCGAAATTTGAGAAAAATTATTCACATGTTAAGAATGTCTTCTTTGTCATTATACGTGTAAGACTTTATGTATAAGCGTTATTTATAAAAAAAAACAGGTACGGGTGGCGTAAAAAATTAATCAGTCGCTCAAACTAAATGTTTCTTTAATCATCCTAATCGCAAACGAGTAAATAAGTAAGAAATACCATGTAATTATATGTTTGTTCATGTTATGTATGTAAAATGCCTGATGTACGAAAATGTGTATAACACTCAAATTCCAACAAATTTTTTTGGCTCACGCGATATACACGCACACAAATACACCGGAAATAGTATTCAGTGCGTCATTTTTGAGCTTTCGTGTAGATTCAAAGTACCTTCAAAGTTTTTGTGAACATTACGTCCGTATTTTTTACGCCTCCAGATCAGTGTTTATTGAAAAATATGATCTTCGACGGTTGGTTTAATAGTATCCTATGAAATATAAAAGTTTACAATACCGAATATATGATACCGCACAGTGAAAGCAGTACGAAGGGAGAAGGGATACCAAAGCGTCTACGGATCAACGGAAAAATTCCACTGATATTAGAATTTTTACAAATTTAACAAACGAATCTTACAGTCATCGTTTTTTTCTAACAGTCGTAACCATATTGAATATGGACCACATAATTACAAAGTAAAGTAAAGTAAAGTTACAGCCTATATACGTCCCACTACCGAGCACAGGCCTCCCCTCATTTCTGAGAGGGTTTTAGGGCAATGAAGTGACCGCCGCGCAGCCCCAATGCGTGTTGGCGAACTTCACATGTCTTCGAAATATTTTTTTTTATTCCTAAGACATGCAGTTTTCCTCACGATATTTTCCTACACCGCCGAGCACGTGGTAAATCAGCACTTAAAATTGCAATTAACAATTTCATTGGTGCCGGCGGGGATCGAACCCGGGTTACTCGCGTTCTGTTATACTTACAGTGAGCGTCAAACATCTGAGCTACCACGGCTACATACATAATAATAATATAATAGACGTACTATATAATATAATATATCATTATATAATATACATAATTATATTAGAGTATTTTCTATAATCACCACGCGTTGTACGTGAATTTTCTATATCATTACTTCTACGTTATGTATGAATTTCGTTATTAACTAAAATCTTCTTTCCTTTCTTTTTTTCTTCATCATCAACCCGTAAAAGTACCACCGATTTACATGCACCTCCTCATTATATGGTGATATTCAGATTTATTGTCACAAATGGCACGTAAATCAACGATCGCAGTTCCAGACATTAACAGTATCGGAATTATTGAAAAATAGAAATAAAATAGTTATTTTTGTAAAACGTATGAAACTAATTTGTGACACCCCCACATAAACACAGCCGTAAATCTATTCGACTGACGGCTAAGGAAATATTTTTTCAAATCTCTTATAGTGCCTATAAAAGTAACCCTTTATAAGACAATGTAAAGCTTTGCAAACAATGAAAACAAAATTCTTATAGGATTTATGGTTGGATATTTGAAAGGATTTAGCCGGCCATATAGATCGAAGAACCGATAACCGATGGGGAAGAAAGGTTCTCGAATGGCAGCCTCGTACCGGTAGGCGTAGTGTAGGGCGACCTCCCACGATGAGACGGGAGATAGATGGAGTGACGACCTAGTAAGACATGCAGGAATTTGATGGATGCAGGTGGCTCAGGACCGTACTTTGTGGCATTACTTGGGTGAGGCCTATGTTCAGCGGTGGACTTGTGAAGGGTTGTAATGATGATGATGATGATTTGAAAGGATTTATACTTATGAGAGCCCTTGCTCCCTGATCAAAAATGTCGAAAAGAGTATGTGTTGTATGTTGATGTTACTGCATTGTAGTTGCATCAATTTTTATTATTGTAGCAAAGTACCTGTGGCAGCCCTTTCATATTCCTGCCTTTTCGATTCTACAGTTTTACTCAAGGTAAGATGTTGCTTAAGGGACTGTTGTTTCTATCGACAACAGTTACTTCCACTGCGATTTGTTGACTCTTGTCCGTAGCAGTCACTAGAAGTGCTTTGGTGGTAGATAAGGTAAAGATAAATTGGCTTAAGAGATGTAACTTTATATGTTTGAAATAAGATGTTACTTTATACATGACAAAGCCATGTAGCGTCTGTATTATGAATGTAGTATGAATGGGTTAGCTTGACCGAGAAAGGACCACGCTTTCACAGAACACCAGTGTAAAATATCAGCTTAATTATGCTGTGTTTCGTATGGTGAATGTAGAGTACCTGAGACCCCTTCTACTGGAAACGAGGCATTCTATCTAATTTCTCATAGGCGAAACCGCATCAGCTTTTTGATTCTTAATCAGAATGAATGTAGATGTCTATGTGCCACAGCAACCACTTACCTTCAGGTGGATTGTGTGTTCGTATGTCACCCTTATTTTATTTAAAAAAAAAACTTTGCGGAAATTAATTACATTAAATATGTAGAATCTTCATCAGGTACTTAACTATTGTAAATTTTGAAACAAAATAAAGTTACAGTAAAAATTTTATTGCTTAATGTAATATGATCGCAAACCTGAGAGCACTAGTGCTGCTATCTTCTTGATAAGAACTCAAAACAATTGAAATTTGTGATAACCTAACCCGACCACTAAGCGTGGCAAATATGGTAAATGTAGCAATATTATTTATGAGCCAACATGTCTCAATGACGGTACAATAACTTTGTTCTGTGCTATTGTTACAGAACAGCATTTCTACTTTAACAGCTTTATCTGAATCAGGGTTCAACTATAACTGCCATTTCACAAAAAATATGCTTCACACGTAAACTATGCACTAAAATTACAAATAACTACTACTATACTCCTGGCGTGCGCCTTAGCCTTGATACTACAGGTCTAATTAAGAAAGTACTGCAAGTTTAAATTTATATCCTCTTTAAATAGTTAATCAATAGGACAAACTAACTTAAAATTAATGTTCAATTTTCACAGTAAGTTTAATAACAAAAGGGTCGCATAACAAAGCTGGCATTGAGTAAGTCATTCAGGTAAGCATGTTAATATTAGTTTCAGAATTCGGAATCTAATTTAGTACACAGTACACGAGCTGTCCAGTGTATTTAGATAAGAAAAATTTAAAATAAAAACTAGTTTTCGGTTTTTTTTTGCGTTTAATTGTCCATGATATAAAACTCCCGACGACTCTAGTTCTGTGTAGCACTCATGATAACCTAGTTAGTTTTGATAAATTTACGTAATGTATTCGCGTAGTAAAAGAAATCAGTATGATTCTTACCTCTTTTTTTCTTTTAATATCTAATAACATGAACACTCAAATTGGAAACCTCACAATGTAATAAAATCACAACTTTCTGTTTGATTTTTGCAACTAAAGCTTTTTGAAAGAAACATTGTACGAAATAATTTTATGAAAATGATACATACTTCATAGTTCATAAAACAGGCATTGAATACCAGTTCACTGATTCATTATAATTTATAGGCTCACAAGTCAGCCATGTGCTCACTTTGTTACGTGAAAGTATTATAATTTTTTAACGAAATTTCCTGTATGAAATTTTATGTATGCGACAGTGTCCGAAAACGTGCGTACAAAAAATGCAACGGTTAAACGAAAATAATCCATTATATATTTTGTTACGTTTTGTTCGAAACGAGCACTTTACTATTAACCTAAAATAATTTTTAATATACAAGAACTTATATAGAATACTTTATTCGGGAGGAGCGTAGAGTAGCCCTCTTATCCTTGCATTGTCTGCAGACTCCGAAAATTTTTTACTGCTATCTCCTCTAAAACTAATTGTACCACATATGTGACGATTATAAATACAAGTGCACAAATATATTTTATTTTTGCGTGGCAAATCCACGCTGCAGCTAAATTATGGTTATAGAGGGATGGTTGTACAGAATACCTGTAGTAAATGGCAGCTTGATGCTGCAGTGTATTTAAAACGAGTGTCGAGAACCGGAAACCCTTTTTCTGAACACGAGGCATACTATCTAAGTTTTCTTGGACAAATTCTCTTGGAAAAAAAAAGTTGCAACGCATCTGCATTATAATCGAACTTAAATGTAGATTACACATCTACATCTATCGCCCACAGCATCCACTTAACATGTAGTCTGTGTACACATGTATCACCATTATTTTTTTAATGTCACGTTGAAAATCGAGTATTTCATTTATACACACAAATCTGGGCGAAGCAAAGAAGCCCTAACTTTTAAGTTGCGCGCAATATTTTTTTCAACAATACTCAAATTTTTTTGTACGAAACATATCAAATGATTTTGATCAAAAACAATGAAAAATAAACTCCATACACTTTTAGATGGACACTCAATATCAACATATTATGTTAAAAGTTAAAGTTACAGCCTATATACGCTGCTGGCCTCATCTCATTTCTGGGAAGGTTTTAGGGCAATAAAGTGTCCGCAGGGCTGCCCTAATGCCTGTTGGCGAACTTCACGGGTCTTCGAATATTTTTGTTTTATTTCTCAGACATGCAGGTTTCCTCACGATGTTTTCCTTCACCGCCGAACACGTGGTAAATCAGCACTTAAAATTGCAATTAACAATTTTATTGGTGCCGGCAGGGGTCGAACCTGGGTTGCTCGCGTAATTTTACTTTACAACGAGCGCTAACCATCTGAGCTACCACGGCTCCTCTGAGCTACCACGGCTCCTCTGAGCTACCACGGCTCCTCTGAGCTACCACGGCTCCTCTGAGCTACCACATATTATGTATAAAATAATTTCAAAAAAATTTTTAATTATTTCATAAGCAGAGAGAGACGTCCCGTATATTCTTGGGCCTAGATGTTAACTGAGTCAACGTAGGACCATTTTAAAGCGTCTAAATCTGAAACATATATCAATCTAATCGTTGAGTAAATAGAATAAGTAAAAATGAGGTTATGTATTACAAACACTGTAAAATGTAATTTTTCACTGTGATAACACTGTAACAGGCTATTTTTCATTATAATTACTTAAAGAGATAAAAAAGGATTGGTATAACATCACTAAATAAAATCTGGGCTTACTAAGGAAACAAAATGTTTAAACGATTAAAGAAAGTTAAAATAACAAATATGTGAAGTGAATATTAGGAATATCGATCTAAGATCGATTACTTTAATTGTTGTTGTTACTGTTATTTGTTGGCATGTACATATTTTGTATTTATATTATTACTTTGTGAATATAGTTATCATAGAAAAATAATCGAGCATAGATATAGAAATTGTCAATTTAACCGAGAATCGATTATATTGCGTTCGTTACAATTCGGATAAAAAATAGGTACTTTTTTTTAAAGTAAATCGTTTGAAGTTTGATCTGTCAAGTTTCAAAATGACAAGTCCTTTATTGATAGCGTTCAGAAACGAGAATTTCATTAATGTTTTCTTCGATTATAATCAGTTTATTGTCATAAAATGTTTTTTTCTTTTTTCCTTATGGGAATAATATATGTTATTTTCAACTGAAACAAACAGTAATTAATAGAATTTTAATTAAATTATGCAAGCTTTTTCAAACTATTTATTGGATCTGAATAAATATAAAATCCATTGAAGTGATAAAATCGTTTTTGACTGCTTGGGCCTATTTTTAGCAAAGGACTTGTGATAAGCCGCAATAATGATGATCTTATACGACAATATTTTTTCATTTTTCTTCTCTTTAAAAAATGTAACCCCAAACTAACAATTTCCCCTGTATCACGGAAGCAGTTTGTTAACATAAATTACATAAGGAGGAACATCCAGACCTGGAAAAATTATATGTAGTCGATACAAATACTTCTTCCGTGCGGGATTCAAACCCACGGCCCCCAGCGCTGCATTTCATTGCTAAGTCACTGTGCGCCACGGAGCCGTGAAACCTCAACACCGAATGACTTTCAATTTGACAAAAAGTCTATATTCAGGAAACTTAAGGATATTTTTTTATAGGAGAGAGTGAAAACGAGCATAAGGTTCACCTGATGATAAGTGACTAACCTAAGCTTTGTTAAGTTGCAGGTGGTGTGCCGGCATGAAATACTGTCCCGCTCTGCTGAGCACGCCAAGCTTTTTAGAGGCCATTTTGGTCTTCTCTTCCAAGTGACCACGAAACTGTTTGTCACTCGATATGTCGACGCCGAGGATTCTGATACTGGCTAAGGCAACAAGGGGAGTGCCTTGTAACTGAGAAGATACGACAAAGGAGTTCTTTTTAGCGTTTAACGCGCAAACTTGTGTCTTCTGAGGGTTAAACTGGACTAGATTTAGTCGCCCCAAATCTGAGACTTTGTACAGCAAAAACTCGACTTTAGACACAAGTTTGTCCCGATACTCGAAAACGTTTTCCCGAGAAACATTGGCACAGCTGGTGTACAGAGCATCACCAGTGCTGAGTCCGATTAAAGATCTTGCATTGTCCAAACTAACGACCAATGCCTCCTTGGAATCTACTGCCTCCACCCATCGATGAGTCAGGTAGACCAAAAGATCACCAGCTGATCGACCCTGACGATAACTGTATTAGCGGTCACTAATCAGCTGGTGATCCTCATGTCACCGCATGAGCCGGCAGTTTATAAAGGATTCCATTATTTTAGAGAACAAGAAGGTGATGGCGATAGGCATGTGGTTTGACAGATCTGAGCGGTCGCTTTTTCTGGGGATCGGGTGGACGAAAGCCGTCTTACATGAATTTGGGAATACGCCTGGGGAATAGGAGTACCGAAAAGATTCTGTCAGGCCCACTTGACTTATGGATGTCCAGGGAGAGGAGTGCTTTGCGCACCAAGCGCTGTGTGAACCGCACACCGCGTTTTATAGAATAGGGTGACAAACGAGCACACAGTCCACCTGATTGTAATCGTTGGCGGTAACGTGTACATGTATCCTTGATTACAAAACCAAATACAGATGCGTTGTCACCCGTAAGGACTAAGATGGAATGCCTCGTTTCCAGTAAAAAGGGTCTCCGGTTCTCTACACTCACCATACAAAATACAGCAGCATTAAGCTACTATTTCACGCTGGTCTTCTGTGAGAGCGTGGTCCTTCCCCGGTTGAGCCGACCCATTCGTGCTACAACTATACAATTAATATAGCTGCAGCATGGCTCTACCACGTATAAATCTGGCATGGAGCACTCACACCGTGCGAAGGTCGGCGGTGTTCTCTCCCTCTCATTGAGAGACGATTTGGATATTTTACTTCTTCACTTGTTCAAATTACAATAATCATTTTATCTTATAATCTCACACTCACATTTTTCTTATAATCAAGGAACATTCGGGGCATAAATACCGAAATAACAATTCCTTGCAATTAAAAAAAATATCGGTTATAACAATTCGGCAGCGAATTGCCTCATGGCAACATACATTTACGAGTATATAATCAATAAAATAATTTCAAAAAAAATTGAGCTGGAATAGTTTTCGGTACTCTTACGCCGATCTCTCCTGAACTATTAGTAGTTTATTCAGTACTTTGTAATAAAAGCCATAGTCAGCTTAACAATATATTTTGAAAACGTGGTCAAAGCATTCAGAATAATATTTTCAATTGTGGTCGCTGCTATTGTACGGGCCGACGACAAAATTTTATTGAGGCAACTTACGTACAACCATTTTCAAAACGGAAAATTTTATCTTTGTTTATAGCATGATATTAAATATCGAGCGACAGTGATGTGCGCATGCAATTGACCTGCGAGTTCATAAATTAATTTAAAACAATATGTGGTGCCACAGCGATTCCATGAACAATGAAATGTTGGTTAGGAATTGAACTTTATTGTTATAGCGTCCGGGGTTGCGAATCATGGTTATATGATGCCGTTAGGTCTGACGTTTATTGTTTTTATTGGTCTAAAATTTAAAATAACAATTATTTTAGTTAGAAATAAATGCAGATTCATTAATATTAATTGTGGCGGAGCATATTATGACCCATACAATTTCGGTACCATACGAAACACAACAGCGTTGAGCTGCTACTTTATGCTAGTATTCTGTGCGAGCGTGGTCCCAGTAGAGCCGACGAATTCCTGCTACTTCATACAACCATAATCCACGAAAGAATCTGACTTGGATATTTTTGACCCAAGACCCAGGATATAGCCGACGAATTCCTGCTACTTCATACAACCATAATCCACGAAAGACTCTGACTTGGATATTTTTGACCCAAGACCCAGGATAATTAAAAGAGCAATAAAACAGCTTACACTTATTACCATATCACATTGGTATTAAATTGTTGTTTGTTTGTTGTATTATGTAGATATATATATATATATATATATATATATATATATATAAATGTATTTTGATTGTAATCCGTTTTTTTTGTCCATACAATATATAAAAATTGATTAATATGCTCTTAACTACACCATAGCTCTTTCGCGTACACGCGCAGGAACATATTTGTCAACTTATTGCTTTATAGTCCTCTCATAAATTACTGAGAGGAAATCTGTGCCTAGAAGTGGAACATTTAAAAGCTGTAAATCTTCATATTCAAGTGATGTCATAAATAAGACTAAACTAAAAATAATTGATATTTTATTTCCATTATGCATTAGATAAGTAGCGAAGACTTCGCATTCCAATATTTTTAATGATATATAATTCTGCTTTATTGAACACAGAATTATTATAAAATTCATTGATGCCATAACGCCTAAACTAGGTTAACCTGTTGATTATAACTACTTTTACGGATTTTATAGCATTTATTTTACTTTTAATTAATTTATTTTTAATTCCCGACATTTCGGGCGCTTTCCAGCACCCATGGTCACGGGGGACTGATATAAACCCGGAGTACCTTCAGCTTTTTTAATTATTGTTTATGGTCCGATCTACTACCACCTGCTTGGGATCCTATAATCAATAAAATTAAAACTAAACCCAAGCATACCACTGCAAGACCTCAGGACATAGTCAGTTCATTTTGCATAGATCGGACCATAAACAATAATTAAAAAAAGCTGAAGGTACTCGGGGTTTAACAATGACATTGGAACGTCCGCCATCTCAGTCCCCCGTGACCATGGGTGTTGGAAAGCGCCCGAAACGTCGGGAATGAAAAATAAATAAAATTAAAAGTAAAATAAACACGATAAAATCCGTAAAAGTAGTTTTAATCAATGTGTAGTGTTCGCGTAAATATAAGAAATCATTAGGTTAACTTGTATTAGGAAACAGTTTCCCTCAGACAGACTCTAAAATATAGTACAAAAAAAGGAGTGTGTTTTGAATAGAATAAAATAGAATAGAATATTTTTTTTTTGTTCAATTTAGATTACATGTCATTGTTATTGAGTAATTTTTTACTTTACCAATGGTTAAAAAAACCTCTGTCCTGGGAAGTACCAGCAAGAAACCCAACGGGACTTTATTTTTAAATAAATTTTACAATGTGAATATTTACAAAATATTTACATAATTTATTTTAGAAATAGCTTAATAGCGACCACATCATTTCCAGGAGTTATTATCAACCATGTATTCATTTATATTATAATAACCCTTTTATAGAGTTTTTGTTTAAGGGTATACTAGTGGCTTATTCTTCCATACAAACCTAGTCTGGCGATTACTCCACTGTTTGATGGTGTACGTCCAAAATAAAAAATGATTTCAATTTGTCTCATCATTGTCTATCCCTGTATAGAAACTAAAAAGTAAAAAAAGAGTATGTTTAAAAGTTATAAGCGTCGGAAATTCCAAATTTCAACACTAGTTTTAACACATCTTTGGGCGGAAATAAATACCATAGGAAGAAAGAAAATTGCAAAACAGTTACCATACAGGGATAGATTAGTTGTTCAAAAAATGCAAATAATTTTATTTTAAACAGATACATTCAATAGATTTTTCATGACATCCAGACTACCAAAGGTCTGTTGTTGTTCGATCGCTAGTTTAATGTGGATAAGAGTTGGTCACTGCGTCATCAATATTAAACTCCTCACTGTTTTATTGCGTTTGTTTTTGATAGGATGTTGCTTTGCATGTTTTTAGGGGCATGTGGTTTTATTTTTTTGCACTTGCTTATTTTAATACTAACACGAGACGCCCACGCACGCGTGGACCGACACGCCGACCGCGACGACGAGACGCCCACGCACGCGTGGACCGCGACGTAGTAGAGGCATGCGTGTCCGTGGTGGGAGAGGAGCGGCGAAAGTCGTAGCTGGGGCTCAGGTGGCTGGGGTTGCGGTTTTTTTAATTGACTATTTTACTACGTATTAGTATTGATTTAAGTGTGTATTATTTTAAGATTTATTAAATCGAATCGAAATGTTTTTATAGGTTAGATCAGGGACCAGACTCTGGGGTAGGACCATCGACTTCGGTATCATCAGCTGCACCCGTTGGTGCTGCTGATGTACCACTGGCAGGTTCGGTGCTCGCGTCGGCAATGTGAGTTTTTTTTTTAATTGACTATTTTACTACGTATTAGTATTGATTTAAATGTGTATTATTTTAAGATTTATTAAATCGAATTGAAATGTTTTTATAGGTTAGATCAGGGACCAGACTCTGGGGTAGGACCATCGACGTCGGTATCATCAGCTGCACCCGTTGGTGCTGCTAATGTACCACTGGCAGGTTCGGTGCTCGCGTCGGCAATGTAATGTTTTTTAATTGACTATTTTACTACGTATTAGTTTTGATTTAAAGGTGTATTATTTTAAGATTTATTAATCTGGTTTGGATGGTGATGTATAAAAATTATGTATAAATTACATGTTGAGATGTGTCAGAACTATTTTTTATGTATTTATGTACACACATATATTTATATACATATATATATATATATATATTATTTTCTTCTAAATTAACTTATTACTTCTGCATATGACCGATTTCAGTTGCCGGTTCTTTTGCGCTAAAAAGTCTCCAGAGGTAAATTTACAGCCTAAAAATACTGAATAAATGATTTTTGAACTTTGAATATATTGGGTACCGATGGCTTAGTTCACTTGTGAACACGGATCCTGAAAAGGTGTTGAAACGTCAGGAAACAATTAAAACACAAAAATAAAACACAAAATCGCTAAACAATGTTTGTGGAATATTATGAACGCGTAGTCATCCGTAAGTGTTTAATTTTAATGATGGCTTCGATTCACAAGAGCTAGTATTAGCCTAGACTAAATAAATGATGTTTGTATTGTGCATTTTTTGTGTGAATGTTTAGTGCTGACTATATTTTTACCTATTTAACGTATTCGCATGCTTTTTTATTGTGTGAAAAAGAATAATAAAATTGAAATTAGTTCAAAAACAATCTCAGTCAGAGAACCTCCTTTATTTGAAGTTGGTTAAAAATAGTAATTTATATGAATTTGAAAAATCCTTGATAGCGGTTGTTAAAATTTTTAAATTTTTAAAATTAAAAGCTTTCCATGCAGTTAATTTTAAAAATTATTGATTGTGCCACTTTTAAAAAAAAATTGGCAGGTACCTACCTAGTTATGAAAATTGTCAACCATAAAAAATATGTTTCCTCCAATGTTATGACTTATGTTATTTCTCAACATGACTTATATTTAAACTTTCGTTTTACATTCATATTTTTCTTTCGGAGAATATCACACTTGGTCTTATCCAAACTTATCATAATGTGTACTTGTAACTTTTGTACCGAAATTGTATACTTTTGACAGTGATTTCCAACATATTATTGTATAAGAACTGGCATTTGTTTATTGTTTTTCTGAATAAAAATATTATTAAGTTTAAGGATAGCAAGTCAGATGTAGAATAATAGAACATACAATTCCATTTATAAGACATAAATGTATAGGGGTAATGTATAGGGGTATCTTTTTTAGGGGTTATTTACGAGTGTTTGGTTTCTGTTGTTTATTTCTCATAACTTTTTGTTTTTTTAGGTCTGAAAACGTTTATCGCAAGAACATAAACCAATCTATAGAAAAAGTTAACACTCCAAGCCATATAGAGCACAAGCGAGCCGGGATTGAATTGTAAACATCCCAATTTTTTGTCCCGATTTCGAGTAGAGCTATGTGAGACTACTACTGAGATGGCTTCCTATCCTCCATTTCCTCATGCACCAGCAACTGGTTGAGCTTTTATTCCTTGGAAGGACTCAATCTTTTGACTAGCTCAGTTTTTAGCTTGTCGTATTTATTCATCACTGGTGGGTTGATAATTTTGTCTTTAACTTCCACTGAGTATTGGTTGTCAAGTTGCCCTATAACATAATTAAAATTGGTTGCGTCGCTAATAATTCTAGATATTGCGAACTGACCTTGCGCAATCCATATTTCGGGCTCATCAGACCAAAAAGGTGGAACTCGAACTTCAACTTTAATAATTATACTCTATGTTTGATTCGGGCATTTCCGGTGTATACGGTCACCTTCTAATGTTCTCTCATCTTCGTTGATTCTGTTTTCCACGCTGCTCATTGTGTCCAACCGGGGTCACTAATGTGGTAACTATTGTAGATGTCATAATTGTGCGGTGTGTGATAACTGCTAGGTGCGCGCAGGAGTTGTACAAATAAAAGATAGTTTTGTACTAACACTCGCAATTTAATGTTCACACACAATTATAAAGTTATACTGAAATTATAGACAGAAGTAGAATGCAACGGGAGAATTTACAATAAGAAAGAAGCACGTAAATAGAGGAACACATACACAAGATAATAAATTAACAATAGATCGGCACACGTAAGTAATTCGAGATCGTGTGAAAAAGCGACAATATCTCCACGTTAAAGTACGTAAGCTACTGAGCAACTCAAAGATCGGTCGAGGGAGCGGCGCTTTAATACCGCCGTCTGCAACCACTGCCGCACAATATTACCATATAAGGTACTGCGACAATTATCAACATCTATTACCAAATATGGTCTTGTTTCGACTGCACCTTGCGGAATCGAACCTACGATTTGTTGGCCAACAGATAAGGAGTGTGTATAGTGTAAATGCGTATGTGTGTGAGAGTGTATGAATGTATGTTCATGTGAAACGTACGAGAGTCTCCCACAATGCCAAGAAAAACAGAGGATTCAACAATACTCAGTTTTTCCCCGTGTATTCAGATTTTTAGCATTCGTTTTTGTAAATTTAATAAATTTAATTTTATTGCTGTTTAAATTAGATTATTAACGTTAAACCAATGCACTAATTTTAATAAATAAAGAGTAGCAACACCATGGCGGGCTATATAAAGAGGCCGGATGGTGACACGCGCAGGCACTCATCTGCGCCCTCTTTTCCCCAAGTGGGTCGATTCTGATACGGTAAAAGGCCCTTCAGGCCCTAATGGGTAGGCACTTAGGTGTTTTCAGGGAGTGTGTGTATTTTCAGCTGGCTGCGTAATTGCTTAAAGCATTCACATCTTCGCGGAAGTTAGTCCTTTACTTTGGTTCTGGGTGAAAGAAGAAAACGACACTCGACTCCTTTTTGCCATCGGTCATCACAGAGTGCGGTAGTTCTGCTCGAATACCTAGTGGTTGTCATTATTTCATATATTTAATTTTTGATAGCATATTTTAAATTTGTAATTATTTGTTTGGCCGGAGGTCATTAAAATCTTTATAAAAGATCAATCTGTGTTTCTATTTGTAACATTATAGCATTATTCACTTCGACACATTTAGATGATTGACGTTTAAGGTCAAAATTAACGAAGTATCATCAGCAAATTATACTATATCATGATTATCCCCTACAACAGAAGGTAAGTCATTAATATACACTAAAATAGGAATGGGCTAAGAATTTAGTCCTGAGAGACACCCACCTGTATGGCCATCCCAAAAACCTTTACCATTGATAATAATTTTCTGTACTCAATTGCTTAAATATGAAATAACTAGTTTAAGCGTTGTGTTCTTGGCACCATAGTACTGTAGCTTCCTGATTAATGTCTCATGGTGAACACAGTCGAAGGCCCTAGAAATATCACAAAATATACCCAAAGCATCCTCTGAATCCTTCTATGCACAAAAAAAAATGTTTTAAGCTCAACTCCGGCATCGGTTGTCGAGCAACCCCTAGTAAAATCAAACAAACTTGTATGAAGCTGTGGCGTAACTCGCTTTACTTAGACCTACGTAAATCCGCTACGTGCATGAAGATTAAACCACACGCTTATATCACGATATGTGGCGTAACTCCTCTTCCCCCCGGACCGCCATATGGTGTTAACGTATACTGTCATCTTGTTGAAATTACTTTTAAAATAAATTAAAATTTGTGTTAATAAATTACTTAAGAAAATAGGAGTGCATAAATCAAGTGAAGGTACTAAACTACTAAGAACGAAAAATTAGCAACCTCTTTATACTGCTGCCCTGGTACTTTCCGGCGAATCACCCACTTACGAGGTACTGTGAATTCTTTTGTTCTCACTTTGGCAAATCAGTGCACGCGCAGGATACGCCATTTTTAGCATTCGTGGACAAAGGGCCGTCATTGGCGACAGCATAAAGTGGGCAAGGCCTACCTATAACCTATAACAGTATTACACAATAGTACTGTTTGTACCTGCAAAAGCGTTATTATCTCCTTGTACTTAATATGGATAAGTATGACCGATCAACTTCGGAATCTAATATTGATCGATTGGAGCGCACGCCACCAAATTTTGTTACTCAGCGCCATAAACGGGGCAGACAAAATGACTGGGAGCAAGACTTTGTCACATTCAGAAATGATATAAAGTCAATGATTTCCCAAATGTTGACTGAACATCAAACTGAAATAAATACAATACACCCTACTCTGATGGAAATTAAAAGCACAAATAATAACATAGAAGCTTCTATAGCATTTCTCACCTCACAGAATGAGGAATTAAAACATAAAATTGAACAAATGGAACTTCAAATCAAAAAAAGATAAAGATTATATAACTTTATTGGAGGATAAAATCGAGGATCTGCAACGTGAGAACCGTAAGACAGCCATAGAACTGAAAAATGTTCCGAAAATCACTAAAGAGTCTAAAGAGGACTTAATGAAGATGGTTTTAACTTTATCTAAAAATATTGGTTATAACCTTGAGTGAGAAAAACGACATCAAAGACATCTATAGAGTCCGTAATAAACGTGACATTAATAAAAGTCCAATCATTGCTGAATTGACGTCAACACTACAAAAGACGGAGTTTTTAAAAATGATTAAGTATTTCAGAATAAAGCAAAAGGAGAAATTGTGTGTCAAGCATCTAGGCTTTACCACGGACGAATATTCCCCCGTATATGTAAGTGAGCATCTGACAGCAAAAGCAACACGACTGCATTTTCTTGCTCGCGATCTTGCTAAGACAAAAGAGTATAAGTTCTGCTGGTCTGCATATGGAAGAATTTATGTTAGAAAAAATGAGAGCTCTCCTATAATTTTAATTAAAAATGATTCATAAATTCAAAGCCTTATGCAAAAAGCATGACTATTTGTACTAAATATTTATTTTGTATTGATACACTTTTATTCGTATGTTTATTGTTCTTGTAAGATTAGTGTTCCTAAAATATTTAACCTATATAAATGTAAAATTATTGTTCTTATCATAATGTCAACACACACAGACAAAAGTAACACACATTACACATATCCTTCCACTCTCATGAATTTATTAAACAAACTC